CACTCCTCCAAGTTACACTTGGTGGAGTGTAACACCAAGTTACACTCCACCGTTACACCGGATTAGAGAAGTTACACTCCACCAAGTTACACTTGGTGGAGTGTAACAGCAAGTTACACACCACCGTTACACCGGATTAGAGAAGTTACACTCCTCCAAGTTACACTTGGTGGAGTGTAACACCAAGTTACACTCCACCGTTACACCGGATTAGAGAAGTTACACTCCACCAAGTTACACTTGGTGGAGTGTAACAGCAAGTTACACTCCACCGTTACACCGGATTAGAGAAGTTACACTCCTCCAAGTTACACTTGGTGGAGTGTAACACCAAGTTACACTCCACCGTTACACCGGATTAGAGAAGTTACACTCCACCAAGTTACACTTGGTGGAGTGTAACACCAAGTTACACTCCACCGTTACACCGGATTAGAGAAGTTACACTCCTCCAAGTTACACTTGGTGGAGTGTAACACCATGTTATACTTCACCATCATCGAGAACACGACGTAACACCCGACATACTGGTCCATACTGCCATCAATGAAACATAGAAGACTGGTAAGCTGCAGTGGGCCTTGTGTCCCATAGTGATATGCTCCATCTCAATCCCCCTGCCTATATATTCCTCGTCTCTAACATTATAAACCCCTACGGGCTACTCGTGCCTTTGTCTCACTACTTGGGTGGCTTAATCTTCACAAGTCAATCAATTGTAACCACTTGCAATCTGCCTTTGATAATGTTGACAATTGTCAACGAAACGCATCTCTTATCATCTCTTTATCATTTCTTAAGTCGTCCGTTTATCAACACATTTTTTACCTCTCATCGTTTATCCTTTTTGATTCACGTAACTTTCTCTGGTTAACATATGTTAACCAGAGAAAGGAATATGTAAAAAAAAAAATAAATTGAATACTACAATACATTACAAATTTCAATTCCGTCTCCTCGGATAAAATAACAATACATTATATACAAAATACAACACCTGAGGTAGGCTTCAGCCCCCACAGTTCTCTCGAGGTCAACTCTCTAATGGAACTTTTATGTGTCAGTACATAAGATAACGCACTCTAATGGATGGGTAATTGTGTGTCATTAATGACAAGATTAAGTCGCGTCTTGAATGAGTACTGATCCATTAGGGACGAATGGTGAGGGGTGCCAGGTGAGGAGTGCCAGGTGAGGGGTGCCAGGTGAGAGGTGCTAGGTGAGGAGTGCCACGTGAGGAGTGCCAGGTGAGGAGTGCCAGGTGAGGAGTGCCAGGTGAGGGGTGCCAGATGAGGAATGCCAAGTGAGGAGTGGCAGGTGAGGAGTGCCAGGTGAGGAGTGCCAGGTGAGGGGTGCCAGATGAGGAGTGCCAAGTGAGGAGTGGCAGGTGAGGAGTGCCAGGTGAGGAGTGCCAGGTGAGGGAGACGAGTAGCGAGGAGAGGCAAGTTAGCCATACTAGTGGTAATGAGTGCCAGATGAGAGAGAGATAAATGATGAAGAGTCCAGTGAAAAGTGCCAGACGATTACAATGAGAGGCGAGCAGTGCCACGTGTGTCACTCACAGGCAGCGAACACTTGCCTCTAAGAGCGAATGGGAAGAGTGACAGATCTCTTGTTAACACACGACTCTGATTGGCTGTCGAGAGCAGTTACTGAAGGAACTGTGGTAGTTCGTCCTTTCACAACGTATCATTCGTCTGCTTGAGTCGAGGCAATAGAGAGCAGGCAATACAGGTATATTTTACACGCAGGAACAGTTCGACGTTGGAAGTAACTTAAATTGAACTCTGTTACTAACTATAGTAGTAGTAGTAGTAGTAGTAGTAGTAGTAGTAGTAGTAGTAGTAGTAGTAGTAGTAGTAGTAGTAGTAGTACTACTACTACAACTTACTATAACCATTCAATTAAACTAATTTAACGAATCACCATTAAACAATGCCACAGTATTATAATGTGACTGCATGAACTGCCAATAATTCTACGATTTTCTAATCTTTTACGTGTGAATAACTCGTTGATAAACTAATCTGGAAATATTTTTAGCAGCAGCAATTGTTATTTAAATATGATGAATTTTGATTGACACTGATGATTTGTATGTGTTGATAGCTACTAAGGTGACACTCATCACTCTTCACCGTGATGACAGGGGAGTGTACTGACTACATATTGACAGGGGGAGTGTACTGGCAACATATTGACAGGGGAATGTACTGACTACATATTGACAGGGGAGTGTACTGGTTACATATTGACAGGGGAATGTACTGGCTACATATTGACAGGGGAATGTACAGGTTACATATAGACAGGGGAGTCTACTGGCTCTATATTGACAGGGGAATGTACAGGTTACATATTGACAGGGGAATGTACTGGCTACATATTGACAGGGGAGTGTACTGGCTACATATTGACAGGGGAGTGTACTGGTTACATATTGACAGGGGAATGTACTGGCTACATATTGACAGGGGAATGTACAGGTTACATATAGACAGGGGAGTCTACTGGCTCTATATTGACAGGGGAATGTACAGGTTACATATAGACAGGGGGAGTGTACTGGCTACATATTGACAGGGGAGTGTACTGGCTACATATTGACAGGGGAGAGTACTGGCTACATATTGACAGGGGAGTGTATTGGCTACATATTGACAGGGGAGTGTACTGGCTACATATTGACAGGGGAGTGTACTGGTTACATATTGACAGGGGAATGTACTGGCTACATATTGACAGGGGAATGTACAGGTTACATATTGACAGGGGAGTCTACTGGCTCTATATTGACAGGGGAATGTACAGGTTACATATTAACAGGGAAATGTACTGGCTACATATTGACAGGGGAGTGTACTGGTTACATATTGACAGGGGAATGTACTGGCTACATATTGACAGGGGAATGTACAGGTTACATATTGACAGGGGAATGTACTGGCTACATATTGACAGGGGAATGTACTGGCTACATATTAACAGGGGAATGTACTGGCTACATATTGACAGGGGAATGTACTGGCTACATATTGACAGGGGAGTGTGCAGGTTACATATTGACAGGGGAGTGTACTGGCTACATATTGACAGGGGAGTGTACTGGCTACATATTGACAGGGGAATGTACTGGCTACATATTGACAGGGGAATGTACTGGCTACATATTGACAGGGGAGTGTACTGGCTACATATTGACAGGGGAGTGTACTGGCTACATATTGACAGGGGAGTGTACTGGCTACATATTGACAGGGGAGTGTACTGGCTACATATTGACAGGGGAATGTACAGGTTACATATTGACAGGGGAGTGTGCAGGTTACATATTAACAGGGGAGTGTAATGGCTGCATATTGACAGGGGAGTGTGCAGGTTACATATTGACAGGGGAGTGTAATGGCTACATATTGACAGGGGAGTATATTGACTACATATTGACAGGGGAGTCTACTGGCTCTATATTGACAGGGGAGTGTAATGGCTACATATTGACAGGGGAGTAAACTGGCTACATATTGACAGGGGAGTAAACTGGCTCTATATTGACAGGGGAGTCTACTGGCTACATATTGACAGGGGAGTATATTGATTACATATTGACAGGGGAGTCTACTGGCTCTATATTGACAGGGGAGTCTACTGGCTCTATATTGACAGGGGAGTCTACTGGCTACATATTGACAGGGGAGTCTACTGGCTCTATATTGACAGGGGAGTGTAATGGCTACATATTGACAGGGGAGTAAACTGACTACATATTGACAGGGGAGTCTACTGGCTCTATATTGACAGGGGAGTCTACTGGCTACATATTGACAGGGGAGTATATTGATTACATATTGACAGGGGAGTCTACTGGCTCTATATTGACAGGGGAGTCTACTGGCTCTATATTGACAGGGGAGTCTACTGGCTACATATTGACAGAACTATTAGCCTTCAGTGAGTTAAACTCATCAGAATCACGCATCATAACATTCATAAAGGCTTAGATGTTCGAAAGTTAGTCTCCCATCAACCCTAGACTACAATCTTGTCAACAATCCCCCCCCCCCCAAAGGGCACTTTAATCACAACACATGCTTTGCTAATTTTGTTCTTCCCTCTCTTTAGTCCATAATTATCTCATGACCTTTGATATCTAATATTTTTCATTCAGTCTCTTCCTTTCGCACACACACACACCCCCTGTGCTGTTCTTCCACGTCAACAGCCTCAGGAAACGTGGGTTGACGTGCTCTATCATCAACTCATTTACCATTCATGTTTGTTATCCTGTGGCTTTTCTGCACTGGCGTCCCACATCTGATATCGCCCACACTATCATTTACTGGGAATTACTACTAGGCTTGTGGGTCCACCTGCCACACACACACACACATACACACAAGCGATCAGGGTGCCTTTGTCTTGTTCCACTTTTCCTGTGACTGAAGGGTCCTCTCATCTTCTTTTCCCTTTCTCTGGGAATGGAAAGACTCTTTCATCTTCTCCCTCTTCTTGCTTTTCCTGGGAATGGGAGGACCCTTTCATCTTTCCCTCCTACCCCCTATCTGTTCGTAGATAGCGATTTTCTTTCCTCTTCTGCCCTCTCTCTCTCTCTCTCTCTCTCTCTATGCATGGAAGGGTTCTGTCATCTTCCATCTCTTTCTCTGGGAACGGAAGAACCCTTTCATCTTATCCCCACCCACCCCTCTCTCTCTTTGTTTACAGATTGAAGGACTCTTTCTTCTTTCCCGCCCTCTTTATAAGGAACGGAAGAACCTCTCCACTTCTTTCGCCGCATTCTATAAACTCAAGGGTCCTCTTCTCTTCCCTTTCTTGGTCCTCGACACGATCGAACTGACAATCATGTTTTGCTTTAAGGAATTACAAGCATATATAATTCTTACATTACAGAAGGTTTGTTCCCAGTAATATAAGTATATTAAGGGAATTGTAAATAATAAACATCTGAGATTAAAATGTGAATTAATGATGAATTTTGTTCATAGGATTTCATACATGGCATTTAATAATCATGTAGTGGTAGGCATCCTTCAGTCTCGGGAGACTATGGAGCAGCGCTCTGGTTGCTCTCCAGGGCGCAAAGCCTGGGTTGGTTGATATGGAGGAGAAGCTGTTACCCATGCAGCAAGTCCCCCCCTCCTCTCCACGCTGCTGAAACTATCCAATAGAAAGGCAAATGCCAATACACATGGTTCCAGCAACGTCGCAGGAGCTGCCAGGACGAGGTCGAAGTCAACAACGAACTGCCTTAGGGGCTCCAACTCCGGATTTTTCCTCGAGGTTGACTCCTGAAGCCTTACCCAAAAGAAGTTTTTTTTTTTTATTATTATTTTCTACCACAGACGTGGCCACACATTTACAATGCTAACCAGCATATATACCTTTTCTTCTGTCCTCCATGGACAGGGTTAGAGATGTGTTAAACATATAGTTCAAGGGTTTATTGAACACTCAACCACAGAAGGTGATTCGGTGCTTTTAAAATGCTAAGCTAACCTACATACGTAAAAACATAGATACACAGATTTACGTATGCCCTACATAAAGTGTTAGATGTGTCTTCCAAAAGAAGGGACCCAAAAGAAGGGACCCAAAAGAAGGGACCCAAAAGAAGGGACCCAAAAGAAGGGACACAAAAGAAGGGACCCAAAAGAAGGGACCCAAAAGAAGGAACCCAAAAGAAGGGACCCAAAAGAAGGGACCCAAAAGAAGGGACACAAAAGAAGGGACCCAAAAGAAGGGACACAAAAGAAGGGACCCAAAAGAAGGGACCCAAAAGAAGGGACACAAAAGAAGGGACCCAAAAGAAGGGACCCAAAAGAAGGGACCCAAAAGAAGGGACCCAAAAGAAGGGACCCAAAAGAAGGGACCCAAAAGAAGGGACACAAAAGAAGGGACCCAAAAGAAGGGACCCAAAAGAAGGGACCCAAAAGAAGGGACCCAAAAGAAGGGACACAAAAGAAGGGACCCAAAAGAAGGGACCCAAAAGAAGGGACCCAAAAGAAGGGACCCAAAAGAAGGGACCCAAAAGAAGGGACCCAAAAGAAGGGACCCAAAAGAAGGGACCCAAAAGAAGGGACCCAAAAGAAGGGACACAAAAGAAGGGACCCAAAAGAAGGGACCCAAAAGAAGGGACCCAAAAGAAGGGACCCAAAAGAAGGGACCCAAAAGAAGGGACCCAAAAGAAGGGACCCAAAAGAAGGGACCCAAAAGAAGGGACCCAAAAGAAGGAACCCAAAAGAAGGGACCCAAAAGAAGGGACCCAAAAGAAGGGACCCAAAAGAAGGGACCCAAAAGAAGGGACCCAAAAGAAGGGACCCAAAAGAAGGGTATGGCGGCACGGCAGCGTAGGTTTAGATTCAGGGTTTTCTTTCCCAAAGATGGGCTGCCTTCCCAGGCTAACGAGTCCCATCTACCCGGAGCAGCTGGTTATAAGGCGCCAGAGGCACGCCCTCGCCCCTTCTCCTGTCAGTAAAAGCAGTTCCGCCGGACTTAAAGATTAAGCCACTCGTGCAGGCTTGGAGTTGGACTTGGTTGTCAGAGACTATTTGAGCCGTACGGGAGTTGTTTATAGGTCATTGGAGCTCGTTCCCCATTACCAACCCATATATATATATATATATATATATATATATATATATATATATATATATATATATATATATATATATATATATATATATATATATACATATATATCGTTTTGAGAACAATTGAATGTTGTAATTATATGTAATTAGATCAGAAAACTGATGTACTTAGCTATTAGTCTGGGTTATTCAGTCCTATCTCTGACTTACTCGGTCACAAATCTGAATCACTTAGTCCCAAGTTTGACTTAGTCAGAAGTCTGCCTCCATCACTGATACGCCTCAAGAATAACCCACAATACCTCCCGTGTGGACGGCAGAGCCCAAAAAGAGGATTTCCAAAAGTATAATTTATGCCCCCAAGTAAGTAGATTTATAGTCCAACCCGTGCTTGTCTGGCGTGATAATCCCCGGCAGTAATTTGTAGAGAGAACGCTGCGAAGATTAACCCAGCAGTATCAGGCCGTCCTCTTTGACCTTAGACGGAGGCGCTGGTGTTGACCTGTAGCCAGCAGTGCCAGGCCGTCCTGTTTGACGTCAGACGTAGGCGCTGGTGTTGACCTGTAGTCAGCAGTGCCAGGCCGTCCTGTTTGACGTCAGACGTAGGCGCTGGTGTTGACCTGTAGCCAGCAGTGTCAGGCTGTCCTGCTCGACGTCAGACGCAGGCGCTGGTCTTGACCTGTAGCCAGCAGTGCCAGGCTGTCCTGCTTGACGTCACACGTAGGCGCTGGTGTTGACCTGTAGCCAGCAGTGTCAGGCTGTCCTGCTTGACGTCAGACGCAGGCGCTGGTCTTGACCTGTAGCCAGCAGTGCCAGGCTGTCCTGCTTGACGTCACACGTAGGCGCTGGTGTTGACCTGTAGTCAGCAGTGCCAGGCCGTCCTGTTTGACGTCAGACGTAGGCGCTGGTGTTGACCTGTAGCCAGCAGTGCCAGGCCGTCCTGTTTGACCTTAGACCCAGGCAATGTTGTTGACATGAAGCCAGCAGTGTCAGGCCGTCCGGCTTGACCTCAGACGTAGGCGCTGGTGTTGACATGAAGCCAGCAGTGTCAGGCCGTCCGGCTTGACCTCAGACGTAGGCGCTGTTATTGACCTAAAGCTTTAGCTTGTAAGGATGTCTTCATTGTTGTTACGGTATGAAAGTGTTGAGTGTTTATCCCCGGGCTAAGGAAAGGAACTGAGATCAAGGGGGTTTATCTATGTTGATCTGTCCGGTGATCTCTCCAAGCTGTCCAACCATTTCCGATATACAACAAATCACTCACCACAGACAAGGGGTAAAGGGTGGTGGGAGGGAGGAACACACTAGGGGTAAGGGAGCCGATCGGCCTAGCGGACACCACACTGGACATGTGATCCTGTGGTCCTGGGTTCGATCCCAGGCGCCGGCAAGAAACAATGGGCAGAGTTTCTTTCACCCTATGCCCTTGATACCTAGCAGTAAAATAGGTACCTGGGTGTTAGCTGTCACGGGCTGCTTCCTGGGGGTGGAAGTCTGGTCGAGGACCGGGCTGCGGGGACAATAAAGCCCCGAAATCATCTCAAGATAACCTCAAGGGTGGGGGTGGCAAGGAGTGGCCCAGTAAGAGAAGTGGCCTCTCAATTAGCCTTGTGTTTAGCCTCGTCTAGAAGCAAGCAGTAACTATACTACGATCGAGGGTTTCCATCCACACTGTCAACAAGAGACACAGTAGGCAATCGCGATCCGTCGTGTTTACGCTTCCTGTTCTCATTCACGATAAAGATTCATCTTAAACTAACAGCGGGACGCAGCGAGGCGGTGGGGTTTGTTTCAACAAAAGTAACGAATCAGGTGGAATGCCAAAGTGGTGGTCTCGATACACACTGAGGCATATAAAGGAAGACAGGCCTTCCCATCTTGTAGCTATACATCCCTAAGAATGTGGTTGGATGGGATATCTCTCTGGTGGTGATTCGGTTGCATGTAGAAATTAAATCCTATAATAACTCCCGGTTGTAATTCTTTTGACCGTGTTGTGGCACAGTCGATTAAGGCACGTTCTAAATCCTATAATGTCAGCTCCTTCGAAGAATTATAAAAAAATCGACATACAAGCAAGTCATCACCAGAGACATCTTGATCAACAACACTGAAATAATCAAAACATGTAACGACAATAAAAGATTAGACAGCGGCGAAGCGCTTCGCATTAAGTCATCTCAATCAACTGTTAACAGCGAGCTCATTCATGCACATTCTACCATCCTGAAGAACAAGAATGAATATCCAGCACACACCGCTCCAGCCAACTGAAGAACATAAGAATTTAAAAAAACCCAGCAGAAGAAGAATCAGCAGAAGAAGAATCAGCAGAAGAAGAATCAGCAGAAGAAGAACCAGCAGAAGAAGAATCAGCAGAAGAAGAATCAGCAGAAGAAGAACCAGCAGAAGCAGAACCAGCAGAAACGCATATGGAACCATGCGTTTCAACCTTCCTGTTAATGCACGCGTTTGCTGCAGCTAAACTACATCCACCTCATTCACCTCAGCCTTTTAGAATGTTGAATGGATCAACAAAACGTCTTTTTGCATCAAGCTTTAATAAAGGTGTAACATTATCATTGGAGAGGTAACTACAAACTTACTTCTGAAGTAAAGAATGATCATAATATTATATATATATATATATATATATATATATATATATATATATATATATATATATATATATATATATATATATATATATATATATATATATATATATATATATACATACAAGATTCGTCCTAGAATCATTCATTTTGTCATATTCAATAATATATATCGATGAGAAAGAAAGCTCCCAATTTACCTATACTGTAAGAGAGGAAGTCTTATAGAGACGCTTGGAGCTAGACTCACCCAAAATGGAAGGAGGGAATGGTCTGAGGCACGGGATGAACATAGGTCGGTTGGGGGTCGCCAGCAGAATTCTAAAGGGAACAACGGCCAGGGACTCACATTCAGACCCCTCAAACAGACATCTATTTTTGGCATGCCCGCCAGCTACTCAGCTAAATACTTCCAAAACAATGTCTTTTCTTATAGAAATATACGCAACGCGGGGACACTAAAGCCCCGAAATCATTTTAATATAACCTCAAGATAACTATTCACTGATCTAGGGAAATTGAACATAAATTTAATGCTGTTCATAATTTGCTTGTATTGGCATAAAACATAAGATCCTGTCACATCTTAAAGGGTTCTCAAGCCACGCTCCTTTGTCAGAGTATAGGAGGCAGCGAGGCTTAATTTTGCTATTGGTATTTTGGTATATTTATTTTGGTATTTTATAAGTGAGAGAGACCGAAGGACAGAGACAAAGAAATACACAAAGAGACAGCGTGAGACAGAAAGTAAATAGATTGGATAGATAGATGGATGAATAGATGAGCAGATGGACGGATAGCTGGACTGATAGATGGATCGATGGATAGGTAAATGGGCAGATGAGAGACAAATAGACCCAGGCATCGCCGGGTATCTCCCCATAGTACATTAGCTCAGTCGATTAAGGCACGTCTGTTATCCTCGTGGACGTAGGTTCGAACCCTCGTCACGGCCCTTGTGGATTTGTTCATTTGATGCATCACGCTACTATAATTTCTGTGTGTAATGAAGTAAAGGCGAAGAGGTAGAACAGCTTATTGACAGAGCTCGGGTGTATGAGGGAAATTGTGTAAAACCCTGGTTTGTGTCTCGGAGAGGCTGCAGGATCCATGGTAGGTCAAGTTGATTTCCTGGTTGCAATTCTTATCCATGTCGTAGCACAGTTGATTAAGGCGCGTCTTGGATGCTCTCGGACGTAGGTTCGAACCCTCGTCACGGCCCTTGTGGACTTGTTCATTTGATGCATCACGCTACTTTGATTTCTTTGTGCAACAGAATCAATATTCTTAAACTCTTCATCTAAGAATTCTGGACTAACAACCAGAAGAGCTCTTAGATACTTAGTGGAAAAAATTGATTGTTTCACATTGTATCTATGCCCTCAGAAATAATTTATCTTATGTGCATTATTTCTCAGGGCATAGGTACAATGTGAAACAATTAATCTTTTCCTCGAAGCACGAAGGGTATGTGTGAGATTTTTTTAGTTCAGATATGAAGGGAAGGCAGAGCACAGTGGTACTAGTGATGCAGACAGCTTTGAGATGAAAGAAATTTTGTTTAGCTTTCGAATAGAAACAATTGATAAAATGTAGAGGGTACCCAAGGCGAGAGAAAGATTTGTAAATCAAAGAAATTTCAGAATCGAAAAACTGAAGATCACTGAGGCGTAGAGCGCGTAGGAAGAGACACGTGAGGACACTTTTCTTAACAGAAGGAGGAGGAGGAGGAGGAGGAGGGTAGGATAAGAAATGAATGTACACACCACTATGCATGGGTCTGCGGTAGACAGAGAAAGTGAAACCAGACACAGAGCGGGGATCGCCAAGAAAAGGAAGTTGGGAATTAGATTCCCATTCAACTTTGAAATTAATAGAAGGAGCCAGATTGTTAAGAGAGGAGAGGAAAGGTTGGAAAAAATTAAGGTCATGAGGTCATAGAACAAAATTGTCATCAACATAGAGAAGTCAGCGAGAGGGACGAGCATCAACAGTGGGAAGAAGAAGAAGAAGACATCTTCAAGAGGAAACTAGATTTATTCCTTCAAGGAGTGCCGGAACAACCGGGCTGTGGTGGGTATATGGGCCTGGGGGCCGCTCCAAGCAACAGCCTGGTGGACGAAGCTCTCACAAGTCAAGCCTGGCCTCGGGCCGGGCTTGGGGAGTAGAAGAACTCCCAGAACCCCATCAACCAGGTATCAACCAGGGTCTTGAAGTACTCCATACAGAGAGTTGCAAGAACAGGGAGATAATACAAACACAACAAGGAAAGAGATAATAAAAGATATATACAAAAGATAAAAATACATATGCAGGCGATGAGTCACAATAACGTGGCTGAAGTATGTTGACCAGACCACACACTAGAAATTGAAGGGACGACGACGTTTCGGTCCGTCCTGGACCATTCTCAAGTCGATTGAATGGACTTGAGAATGGTCCAGGACGGACCGAAACGTCGTCGTCCCTTCAATTTCTAGTGTGTGGTCTGGTCAATAAAAATACATTAAAGAATTGGCGTTTGGTACTCAACTAGAAAACTAATTACCAAAGTTTAAGCCGACATAAACTAAATATGTATGGAAAAACGCTAGTAATATTGAAGGTAGAGTATTTAAATAAAATTCTTATTTTTGATGGCTGTCAGGAAAACCGTGAAACTTCAAAAATGAAGGACGAAACGAGGGCATCAAAATGTCTTACATGAATCGAGAGAAAATTACGAAGGAAAGGTAACATTACGAGACGAATCATCGCCAATTTTTATTACCCACTTAGGGTGAATTATGTATAATGGAGCGTCAATATTCACACTTAAGGCGTGAAGGATGAAGATTGGATATGGAGTGTGAACGAGAGCTTGGTGCCACCCAGAGCCAAAATTATGAGGTTTGCTCAATTTTTGATAAACGTTTCGCGCGGGAGAAGACCATCTTTTGTGTAATCTATCGCAGCGTTTTCTTAGTTTGATGCTTCAGGCTGGCTGTAATGACTCCCTGAGGACCAGGTGGAGAGAGGCTGACGACCTCTTGAGGATCAGTTAAAGAAGACTGAAGCCTCCTTGAGGATCAACTGTAGAAGACTGAAGCCTCCTTGAGGATCAGTTAAACACTGAAGCCTCCTTGAGGATCAGTTAAAGAAGGTAAAAAAACCTCCCTGATGACCAATTGAAGGAAACTGAAGCCTCACTGAGGATCAGCTGAAAAAACACTAAAGCCAGTATAAGGACCAATGCAGTCTCTTAAAAAAATTATATCAGCATTTGGGGATTACAAAACATTTTCTAACTGGAGTAAGATAAACGAGGTGTCACCCCTCCCACAAATCTGAAAATGAAGAACCAACGATTTTCGGTCCATCCAGGCCATGGATAATGGTCCAGGATGGACCGAAACGTTGTCGGTTCTTCATTTTCAGATTTGTGAGTTGAGTATCAACTATTCAGCCACATTATTGTGACTCGTCATCAGCATAAATGAAGTCACAGCGGAAGGAGAGATGCTGTTCTAAGAGCCGTGAAAACATGTTCTTCATCTCCTCTATGTCCCTTCCTGTGATGTGTTACAAGCTTCTTTTGAAGATCTTAGATCTAGCGAGCGTCTGAGTCAACTTAGCCATTACCATTCGTCATAAGAACGACAAACAACGACATTTTCGCTCTCAACTTACATAAAAAACTAAAAGTTAAAAACACGATTATTCATACAAATATTACCGATAAATTAAACGTATTTAGACTCGTGTTCATGCGGGAACATTTACAAGTAAATAAAATATCATACATGCGGATGATCGGAATAAGACAGAAGGGTATGATTATGATCAGCGTACAAATATCAGAATAAGAAAACTCTCTCTCTCTCTCTCTCTCTCTCTCTCTCTCTCTCTCTCTCTCTCTCTCTCTCTCTCTCTCTCTCTCTCTCTCTCTCTCTCTCTCTCTCTCTCTCTCTCTCTCTCTCTCTCTCTCTCTCTCTCTCTCTCTCTCTCTCTCTCTCTCTCTCTCTCTCACGTGTTTACTGTAATATAAGAGACTAATACTGCTGTAATGTCTAGAGGAGCGCCGCTTACCCACAGAGGAGTTTAACATAGCGGCCATTGTCGTGAAACACTGCTTTCTTCTCGCAATTGTTGTGGAAGCAATTTCTGGTCTTGCATTGCTAGAAATCTTTGTCCTGTTGCATGCTGATTTTACCGTGTGAATATATAAGAACCATCTCATTTCCCTGAGCGGCTCATAGCAGTCGCCGCCCTCTCGTCTCTTGGAAAACCACATTTCCCACACTTAGCATATATCTGACGCCCGTCCTTTGCTCACCGGGGCCTTGGCTGTGATGTGCTGCTCCTCAGGCGATGGGCCCTGGATTCATGTTTGCTGCGCTTTCCAGCTCGTACTTTTCGGCAACTGGAATTTTTTAGGATTTGGGAGCAGATACAGCACCAAGACTGTCACCGTTGACACATAAACCGGGCAACATCAGTAGCATGACCGCATCTGGCGAACATTTATGTAGCATTCAGGAGCATGGAGAAGAAAGCTCTTTGAGAACGTTGTGCACTATCTGTGTTAAATCATTACTGGAATATGTAGTCACGTTATGGAATTTCTCCCTAAAAAAAACTCGTCGAAAATAAAGTTCAGAGGCTTTCCGTAGGCCTAATAAAATAAATATGATTGAACTCTGCGGGCAGATCTATGAGCAGAGGCCAAGGACTCACGAACTCATATAGCTCTCGAAGAGAGAAAAAGTCGACAAGTTATCAACTTGCAGGATTTTTAGAGACAAGGAGAAATTGATCATGAGTAAACGGTTTAACATAACAGTTGTAGGGCGAGAAGACATGGATGGAAAAATGGGTGGACATGGATGGAAACCAAGAGGCCCAGACGGACCTTAAGGACGGAGTGGAACACATGCTCTGTGCCCGAGTACTGACCAAGTTAAACGTATTGGAAAGAAAAAGTTGAGCAAAGAGG